GTCTGTACCCAGTCCATGGTGTTCTAACTACAGAAAACAGAGCATGACACATGGTAAAGACTGTTCACTTCATAGGATTTTTGTGAGAATCAAATGATATGATGCCTTCAAAGCCCACTAACACAGTGACCAGCACAGAGCAGGTACTCAAAAACAATAATTTTTAGTCGAAAGTAAGTTAGTAGTAGTTAGTGGGAAGATCTACTTTTTAAATAATTTAACAAAAATTGAAAACTCTCATTGTCATTTTATAACTAATCATTAAGAATAACTACTTAGGTAAAGAAATAATGTAGCATGAAAAACCCTTCCCAGTGAGCAATGTGCCACATTGATGCTTATATTTCCTTTCAGAACACACTTAAAATCTGGGACTATTTTAATTTTGCCCAAATAGAATTACTTTATTCAAACCTTCTACAGAAGTAATCTTATAATTAACATGTATATTTAGAAAAGTAGTGCTATTTTAAGCTGCTGGATCTGCTTCTTGACAGTAAAGAATAGAGTCATTCTTGGGTCAAGGTTTTAATATGTCTTGCATGGCATAGGAGTAATTAGGAATGGCTTAATGCATACTATTGGGGAAAATCTAATTATTAAAATGTTTTATTCATCAGTAATAAACCTTTGACGAAACCTAGAATACTTGATAAAAGTATGCATGTAAAAAATAAAATAGATGATTACTAAGAAGTACTCATTTGAGATTTCTTTGATCTGTCATGGTGGGAAAACGCTTCATTCAGAGATAAAGATCCTGCTATGAGACCCCATACTCTGTGACTTAGACAAGGGATTTGGGCAGGTCATTCAACCTGCATGAGCTTCAGTTTCGTTCTTCTGAAAAATGAAGTGGGTATCAAATACTAAGACTGCTTTAAGATAACTTTCCCAACAAGGAAACGTGATAAAGGGAACAAACACATGCTATAAGTGTAGCTATTACAGAAATGTCAAATACTACTGTTGCTACAAAAGGTTCAGCAGGATACTCTGTTACTTCATACTTTCTGCATTAGGTTTCACACCCTTGCAGAATCCCTAATTCACACAATATTAACAATTCTTGGTCAATGCCATTCGTTACATTTAGGTTTGAAATCAATAGATAGAAGTTTTATTAACTAGTCTATACAGTTTGAATGTATTATATAAAATACTAATCACAACTAAGGTAAAGTAGTTCTAGAATAAATATACCAACATTAATGAGATGCAAATTTGTGGCTGAGTGCAGCTGCTCTATAAGCAGCCAAGATTAATTAAGTGATATAACTGCTGATGAGAAAGATAGCTTATCATTACAATAACACAAAGAACACTCCTGTGCCTGACAGTTCAAAGAACAATAACATAAAGCTGTGTAGATTATGCAGTATTATCTCATTTTATCTCTATAGTAATCATTTCAATGATTATTTCTCTACTATGGTTTGAATTAAATTCTAAAAGGCCCTTGTGTTTAAAGGCTTTGTCCCCAGTCTGTGGTGATATAGGAAGGTGGTGAAATCATTTTATTTATTTATTTTTTGGTGGGACTGGGGTTTGAACTCAGGACTTTGCACTTGCAAAGGAGGTGCTCTTCCACTTGAGCCACACCTCTAGCCCAGTGACAGAACCTTTAAGAGGTGGAGACTCCTGAGAAATTCTGATCACTGGGAGCATACCATTGAAGGGGCTATAGAGACCTCAGCCACTTCCTTTCCCTCTTTGCTTCCCTGCTGCGAGATACAGCTTGATGCACTGCTTCCTTCTTGCAATGGTGTGCTGCGTCACCACAGGCCTAAAAGCAATGGGACCAATAAATCAGGCACTGACACCTCCAAAATTGTGAGCCACAACAACCCTTTTCTTTTTATAAGTTGATTACAAGTGTTTTTTACAGTGTTAGAAAGCTGACTAACACATCTGCATTTATTTGATGAACTTGAACCTAATGGAAATCAAATGAAAACCAAGACTTAGCAATTAAGTGAGACTGCTAATATTTGGGTACTCTGCTGTCAAGTCTACTGCTCTTGGTGATAAAGAAGCAAGAATGACTTATGAAGTGTTATCACCCACTCACCATGGTTTATTGGATGCTTATGATGTATAAGGAACTGCAGATATAGTAAAGGATCAAGCATGGCCTCAGCAACAAAGAAGCCAACAGGCTGGTAAGATTGATATTGCTGCTTTCAGCAAAGGTAAGGGCTATAAGAATGTTCAGGAAAAAGTGTCATGGAGATTAATTTAATAAATTCAATCATTTTAATCATCTCAATATTTTGGTGTAATGGTACCATGTAATTGATCATCTTCAGAGATACTTTTCTTACCTCAAGCAGTTGTAACTGAGTTCAGTTTTTATAAAGTGTACTTTAGAAGGTCAACCAGTAAGTCCAAATTACTGTCATGAACAATAAACCTGGACAAGAATCCAAGATAAAAGAAGATGAATTGTGAGTTAGAGTGCACTGAAATTCCTTTGACTTGTTGAGTTTAATGTCTGGTACACTGTATTAAGTCGGTTTAGTATGAAGCAGTAAAAGATTATACTTTGTCCAATAGTTTTAAACCATAGCAAACATTATTTAAGAGTTGATTATAATCCTCAGCTCAGCAGTTTGCTGTAATATACATACATAGATAGATGTGTGTGCCACCTCTGCATTCTTTTCAAAAAATGGAGATATAGCAAATACCATAGTGTTTTCCCTTTAAAAGTGTAATTGAAATAATTACACTTTTTTTTACTATTTAAATAAGCTGGTTTCATATGAAAACCATTTGTTTAAATTCTTCTACAGAAGAACACTATTATTACTCTGAATTGGATAAGTATCATATGGCAAGGCTTGGACATATCACATTCCCTGCAGCATAACCTCATAGCAAAAGACAGAGTATTCTTTGTAGAAGGACAATCAGATTTTTTTCTAACATCAATATTGTAAAAGTCTAATTGTAATCATTTAAATTGTGTGTGTATGCTTTTAAAAGGCGAAAACCATGAAGGCTAAATTGCAATTGTAAAAGTGAGGAGACAGTGAATAGTAAGGTAAATTGTAATAGCATGCAATGGGAAAAGTCACTATCATGGAATGTACAGGAATTGAACCCAGGGTCTCATGTATGCTAGGAAAGCACTCTACTACCGAGCCATATTTCCAGCCCTCACAGTCTTGGAAACCTAGTTCAGATCCTCATTTGGAAGTGTAGTTTTTATTTCAGCCTTAGTTCCCTCACTAGAAACTGGGGTTAAGAGCATAATCTTGTGGAATATCTGTGAAGCATAGAGATAGGAACATACTACACAATTCAGCTTCTAAGAAAACCAATTTATATAACTAAAAATTGTGTGAATTTAGTTGCTGCATTCCCACATTGACTGCTTGCAGGATTTTATTCAGCTACTATTTTTACAAGGCTCTTTCCTCCTTCCCTTCTTCCTCCCTCCCTTCTTTGCTGTTTGAGATTGAACCCAGAGCCTTGGGGATGGAAAGCATTGGGTTTGAATACTGAGCTACACCCTCAACCAATATGGTCTTTTAATATGGGGACACTAAACAGATATGAGACGAACTCCTTCCTCACACAAGTTTGTCAAATTCCAGTCTTGCAACCATTCTCCAAGCAAGACAGTTCCAGAGAACACTTCTGCCAAGGGTTAGAGAGGGAGTTTGCCCTCTGTAGCTCCCTTCAAAAGCCCCAGAATATGCTTATGGCTTTACATCCACTTCCCAAGCTTTTAAATGGATTCCACAAATCCTTAACACTAGTTATGGTTCAGGTTTTAAAATTAAAAAGTTTAATATTAAAAAACAAATAATGTTTGGAGATGAGACGCCAAAGACAGCAAAAGATGGAGAGATACAAAATTTAATTAACAGGCAACTTAATCCTCACTCTTGGCTGTTTGAAACTGTTTCCAGGAGGAAAAATAGGTATAAAACCCTGGGGAGAGTAAAGCCGGCCTCGGGGACCTAGAACCAGAGATGAGAAACAATTGCGTAGCAGTCGGGCCACTTGCACCTAAGGAACAGAGTTAAGGCACAAGCACAGCCTCACAGATGGACGGGTCACTCTCCCAGGGTCGCCTGAATGAGGCTTCAGGAAGACTGGCTCAAAGTGCGCTCTGAGTTCAAGGTTGGCCCTGAGGGCTTGCCCACCAAGGACTACATGCGGGGAGCTGGGATTTGGCGGGGAGATCCTGCATGATTATGCCCCCAGATGAAGGCACGGTGAAAGGGTGACAAAAGCACATGTTCCAGGGCCGTTTTTTTGGGTTTTTTTTTTTTGAGGGGGTGGCGGGGGAGCACTCTCTAAGTCCCCTGGAGGTGGGATACATGTGTCTGGAGGTGGGATACATGTGTCTGGAGGTGGGAAGTTAGAGAACTTTGCGAAGGAAGGGAGGGCAAATCTGAGCAAGTCAGGCGGAGTGCGGGGCTCCGCGGAGGGGGCAGGGAAGGGCGGAGGTGGTTTCCCAAGTGTCGCCTTCTCGAGCCTGGCCGACACTCGGCTAAGCCGAGCTGGAGGCGGCGCAGAGACCGCGCTCCCTTCTCCCCTTGCTCCTGGCTTTCCTCTAAGAATGGGCGAAGGCGACGCGTAGCCGGCAGAGGAGAAACGCTCCGTGGCGGGAGCCGGGCGCCCGGCCTGGGCTCCGCGGGAGGGCGGCGGCAGCGCCTCACTGCACCAACCTACGATCCCTCCCCCCGCGCCCCACCCCCGCCGCCACCCGCCGGGGGACCGCCCGCCCCCAGTTGGTGCCGCGAGCAGCCGGAGAGCGAAGGCCCGCGCGGGACCGCAGCCGGCGGGAGCTCCTGCCTCCCTGACCCGGCCTCCCTCCCCCTGCTCCCTTTGTTCCCCTCATACCCTCCCCCGATCGCCCCCTCCCCTGCCCCGCCCCTGGCCGACACCGCCCTCCTGGCTCGGCCCCTTTCCTCCCGCGAGCTCGCGCTCCCCCAGCGCCCCCCGCCCGCCGGCTCCTCCAGCTCCCGCGCCTCCCGCTGGGCCTCCCGCTCGCCGTCGGCACCCCGCTCCCATCCTCACTCCGCTCGCGCCGGCCGTCGCCTGGTCATGTCAGGATGGAGATCCGGCAGCACGAGTGGCTCTCGGCCTCCCCCCACGAGGGCTTCGAGCAGATGAGGCTGAAAAGCCGCCCCAAGGAGCCCTCGCCAAGCCTGACCCGAGTGGGCGCGAACTTCTACAGCAGTGTCAAGCAGCAGGACTACAGCGCCAGCGTCTGGCTCCGGAGGAAAGACAAGCTGGAACACGTAAGGACCGCTGCTCCCCGGGGCCTCCGCCGGCACCTGCCGCACGCACCCCTCCGCGCGGTGGTAGCCCATGCGCGCTGGGGCGCGGGTCCTGGGCAGGTGGTGCGGATCCTGAGCAGGTGGTGCGGGTCCTGAGCAGGTGGTGCGGGTCCTGAGCGGGTGGTGCGGGTCCTGGCAGGTGGTGCGGGTCCTGGGCAGGTGGTGCGCTGCGCTGGGTCCGATCCTGGGGTTTCTCCTTATGCGCTTTCTTGCCTTAAAGACCGGGCTGCTTCCCTTCCCGGGACCGACTGGCCCCTGCACCCCCAGATCTCACCACTAGTGTCTCCCTGTAGGGTTCATTTGCAGCGTATTCTTGGGGTATCTGTGAGAAGTGAGCACAAAGTAGAAGCGCCATAAGAGTGGCCCCGGGTAATACTGCGTTGCATTGCAGAGTTTTAGGGGGCGTTTATGTGGGTCTTTGGGGCTATTTCACTCGGACCAGGAACTACAAATTAATGCTGTTGTGAAGTTGTTACTGGATACCCAGTAGGGGCCACGCACAGCCCTTAAAGTTCTCTGCAAAGTGTCTGCTGGGATCAGCAATTGGCGGTCCTCTCTACCTGAGTCCTAGCAGGAAGAGATTTGTGTGTTACAATAATAAAGGTTAAAGGAGTTGAAAGCCCTGCTTCCCTGAAAATCCACAACTATGCAGGGGGGAGTCTGGAAAGAGTGGGCTTCCCACAGAGTGTTGTTGGCTCTGGGATTGAGTCCTCAAGGCTGGCTATCCTGGAAGGGAAAAGTACTAAAAAGGCGGCTTTTGGATCCTCAGTTGCAAGTCTGGCCCATCAATATCTTCCTAAACCAAATGTTAAAATGAAGCTAACATTACAGAGTGCAGCTCCACTAGGTAAGGAGAAATTCTGTTTCTTCCCGTGGAGCTACAGAATCCAAATTGAGTCAGTTAATGGAATTTGGAGCTCTATTATATATGGATCGCGAAGCCAGTAATGATAAAAAAAATAAGACCCGAAACTCCAGGAACTCACACATCTCCAGCCCTGGACTACCTGAATTCCGTAGCTCCACACCCCACCTCCCTGCCCCATGTGCTTTTCCTGGGCTTTACCACACCAGCTTCCCAGGAGGAAGCATGCAAAGAGGTATTTCTCTGTAACAATCTGAAAGGACAGTCTGTGCCTTTTAAATTTTTTTTTGAGGCCTAATTAAGTCACTGAAATGACATTCTAAAGCTCTGAAGCTTTCTAGTGAATATCAGGCTCTATCCTGTGTGGAGAGCCCTTTGCTAATGCCAAAAGACTGCTTCCCATCCTGAAACTGGGGAAGTAACTGAAGATTTCTAGGATGGCAAGTTGTTTGTTTGAAAGGCAAGGGCAATATCTATTTCAAAATGCACACTCCAGGATTAGTGAAGGGACCTGGGATGCTTTAAGCTTAAAAGAGACAAATAGCATCTTCATGTAATTTGGTTCTGGATGCGTTTGGTTTTAGTACCAGGGGAAAATGGTCCAGCCTTAGAATGGTAATAGAACATGTCTTCATTTTAGTCTTACCATGCGTGTGTATTCATTTTCAGCTTGTGCTTTTAGCTGATCTATTTCCTTTATTCTCTAACTGAAAAATCAATAGTGAACCTTCTATGACTATGTCTTCTGCAGTCACAGAAGCTGCATGCATTACACTGAAATGAGTTCCCACTTTTAGATTTGCGTTGAAAGTATCAGCTCTATCATGTGGACCATGGGGGCTCACCTATCTGCATGAGTACAGGAAGCTCCAGGCCTCCTGAGGATTAGAGACCAGGCAAAGGAAGATGTGGTTGTTTGAAAGCATCATGAGATGCTCCAAAAGAGAGCATTGCATTCATTAAAGAAATCAGTCACTTCATTTGTTTTTTAAATCAGCATGCCATTTGTTTTGCTTTCTTAACTACATTTATGAGATGTGTATTGTTTTCTTCTATACCCACTTTCCACTGAAAATGGGTTTTACCTCAAATGAATTTTGTTTTATTCTCTTGTCCTTTGAAATCTCTATAGCATTTTTAATGAGTTAATATTTATGAAAGTGCCACGAAAAACTGAAGTCATATAAAGATGTAAATTTTATTTGAATTCAAGTACTTGGTATTTATAATATATGTCATGTTTCATACACTATGTTAATTCAGGTAGATTGATATTAATTTCTAATTCAGTATTTGAGATTTAAAAACCTATAACAATGTAACCTGATATATAGTTTGTTTGTTACACAAATCTTGAAATGTCATGTTAATTTCATCCAGACAATGTGCTGAACCTGCACTGGTACTTTCTAGTTTAGATGTACAGGGATAAGGACAGGGTGTCATAGAAATTCAAACATGACGTGTGGTGGTTTAAAAACACCTTCCTGATCTGTCTAATCAAACAGATGACCACCATTTTTTACTATGTTAAAAATGGATTAATAATTATGATGGAGATCATATGCCTGAAAATAGCCTACTCAGTTATTTTACTGGTGCTTTAAAAGCCAATCTGAATATTAAGGGAATAAATAAATTATGACTTCAAGTGACACATGTGTTTAGTCATCACAGCAGCGGGATTCCCTGAAATGAAATGTGGCAGTGTGGATTCTGTCCAGGATTCAGAGGCACAGCTTAATCTGAAAGTCAATAACGTGATGTAAAGTGGCAACTAAAGAATGTATTTTCACCCACTTTGCTAAAAGTGAGAATAATTTATCTCTTTTTTTTGGCTTAAAGATGCTAGATGAATCCCCAGGCTGGACAAGAGTAAAGTGACATGAATTGGTTGAGCACTGAAATACTTTCAATTAATCTTAACATTTGATTCTTACCATTAGTTGGTCAATACTTAAGATGAATGCCTATTAAGAAATAAAAGTATATAAGGATTTCTTCCATTCTTAAATCATAATTTGAAGGTATAAGGAAGTCGTGTTCTGTACCATGAATTCTGGACTTTTATTCCCATGTGGAAATTTCAGGAAAAAGTAAAATTGCTGGCCACATGCAGAATTAGCTACAAATAACGCTGTTGGTTCTTATAATCTTTTGCTTTCTGTTCTGGGTCATAATTTCTGTGTCTTTAGAGGGCATTAGGCTTGGGAAGTAATAAAAGTCTCATTCTTTGTTGGATCCGGTGTTTGCTTGTGGTGTAATGTAAAGGAATATAGTGTGGCAAAGCAAGAGGGCAGGGGCCACCCTTGCAGCTCCCTAGCCCCCCCCCCCACAACTCTCTCAGCCCTCCCTGGGCTTGGTCACTGTGAGGATGCATTTAATAGTTCTTGACTAAGCCAGAGGACAGTGTGACAATAGGCTGGTGTTCTTTTGTGCTGTATGCCCTTCCTGAGCTTTTATTTTTATCTTTGTTTTTTATTTTTTGGAAAAAGGGAGAGATGCAGAGGCTATTCTGCTCAGTTGCCTAGTTTCATGCCAATTGTGTGTGTAAAGGTTTTCTGGGGCTATTTGTGGATATATATATATATAGGGATGCTTATCTTTTGTACATTCCATTGGCTCTTATTAAAGTGTGTTTAAAAGCAGAAGTCCTGGGTAGACAGACCTGGGTTTAAACGTTGACTCTATTTCTTACAGTCACCAAAATGCACATTCATGTTCCTTGTTAAGTTGCAGGTTTGCTGTGATGATTAAGTGTATGTGGTGGGATTCCTGTCTGTAGTGCAGGAACAAATGGCACCCAGACATTAGGGACTCAGGACCACACAGGTGTATGTTTCCCTTACCCTTCTCATCTGTGCAGGCCAGCAGGGTCTCTCCTTGTAGTCTTCCTGCCTGATGGAAACTCCAATCCTGATCTTACCGCCATGATTACCAAGGCAGATTAGGGGAAGGTGGTGAATGGAGTGGTGGCATCTTAAATGATGCATCCATAAGACTCCTGCCTATTGGCCAGGCTCACTTCCAAGGGGAGTGGGAATCCAACCAACACTGAAGGTGGAGAAAGAATATTCCTCATTAGCAGGCGTTAGGACCACCACAGTGCCTGAAGCACTTAACACAGAGTTGGGATGATGCAAAGTGCTCTTCACATGTATCTGGAGGTATAATGAGTTCTCAGGTGCTGCCTGGCCCTCTGCCTGAACCCTCCCAGTCTACCACAGAACTCCCAGACTCCACACTTGACATCAGCCTGCCTGCGTTACAGCCATGGACCTAACGCATATGGGTTTTTTGGCCAGGGCCTGTGATGCTGTCTCTGTCTGGCTTCTAGTGTACCCTCTGGGGCTTGACTATTCTTGTGCATGGCCTTTCCTTACTCCTCTCCAGGTCATTCTGAGGCTGCCTTTTCTGGTTCTTATGTTCCCGTAAGCAGAGACCAGCTCTTTACTACTGTCCCCCATTTCTCCTTTCCTTTCCAGCTGTGTCAATGTAAATCACTTGAGCAATATTTCATTTATTGAGAGATGGCTCATAGAATCTATTAAAAATGGAAAGAGAAAGATGAAGAGAGAATTGGTGAATAGCAAGAGACAGAATCCTTAATGTTTCCACTTCTGGTGAGCAATATAGTATCTTGTTTTAGTTGTGTCTTACACTTAGAAAAGGTTGTCTCCTCTAAGTGTGAATTTGCACCTGCTTTAATAGAGGTATGTTACCAGCGAGTAGTAAATAAATGACAAGCACACACTTGCCTCTTTGAATAAATTATTCACATGATGAGCAAAGAATAAATAAACTGGAGCAAAATTGGGCACAGTGACCTCGACTCATGTTATATAATGCCATTTATGTCCTATAGAGTATGTCCATGAAAGTATTATATCCCACGGAGCAGATCAGCAAAGAATGGAAAGACAAGCTCAACCCAAGGGAATGAATCTTTAAAATGGCCCATCAAAAATCAAACAAATAAACAACCTGGCAAACATTTACAACAATAATATTTACCCAGATTAGTTGCTGTGGTTTTAGAGAAACAAAGCAGACGCACTGTAGGCAGAGGTACTATTCTGTGCCTCTAATGCATCGG